GCTTGTTGTTTAATCACTCACTTCAAGTTTTATTGGTTTGCGGTTTATAGAATGAAATATCTGTAACTATTTTATGTTTATTCAATCTTTTTATAGGCTATTTTAATCTGTGTTATTTATACGTCTTTGCCTCTTGTTTTGTAATTTATTGTATGTTTATTTGTCCGGGGGGTTTAGGGGGGATACCCACATCTTGTGCTGGGCTCTCAGCCCACGTGTCCTCTTGGCACCCCTCTGGCCATTTCCGGATTTGTGATTTTCGTGCCGAATGTAATAAATAAATTAACAAATGGATAATGTTATTAAGTTCCTTCTTTTAATGCTCTATTTTTCTCATCGCCTCGTGCATTATATAAAATGGATATGAGGGCTATACAAATATAAATCAATGAATGTAAGGCCTAATACACACTGTAAGGATGGACAGATTGAGTAATCCAGACACCAACAAATAGTCCCTAATGCGTAGCATGTAATTGCACCGTAGAAAAATCTCCCTGCACATTCTGTTGTCCTGGAAACAAAACAAGAAATGGGTGAATAAATTATTTAAAACAAAAAATCAAAATGGCCAATACAATCCACATAAAATATTTTATCAGGCCCAAATCAAGGAAGGGGGTACAGTGGATACGGACGCACCACGCCACCCCCCCCCCACCTTTCCTAAAACAAAAAAAGATCCACATTTATGCACTTAATATAAAATTTGATATTTGATATTTTATGCACTTATTATAAAATATTTTATGCACTTAATATTAAATTTGATATTTGATATTTTTATATTTACTGTAATTAAGGTTAAAAGAAAATCTTAAATTTATACATTTTTAACCAGCAATCTATCGTTACGACAGATTTGAGCATTAAGTTACTAGGTTATTAGTAATTACGCCCCCACCCCCCCCCCCCCCAAATTCAAGACTTCTAGATACGCCACTGCATACAATGAAAAATTATTATTATTGATCGGTGCTGTTTCGAAACTGTTGAACGATCAACGAGGCTCCAGTTTTTATGGAACAGCTGAAATCACATTTTGTTGAAGAGACGTCAAATCTTTGTTAGGCCGTTTTTATCAACATACTTATTAGTGGCTACCAGGCAGTGCATATTGTAGCACCAGTATAACATCAATTCAGAATTTGGAATTGGTGTAATAGCCAATATCCTCTTGCATGTTCAAAACGTTAAAGTGATCGATTCTGCATGTTCATTGAAATGCATGGGCAAGTTGGCTAACGACAATTTTACGCCGTAAGTTTTAAATTCAGAAAACACTCCATTACCGTACTGTGGCCTTGTTATAGAAAAAAATGCATTTACCTGAGATAGTTGATTGATTTTATAATCATAGATATTGCAAGAACTCCGAAAGATATCTGAACATAGAAGATAAAAAGAAGTAGAAATTGTTACTAAAATTTAAACTAGCACGATACTACAAGAAAACTACTACTATGATAATACGAAAATAATATTTGATTAAATCATAATTTGTTGTCCAGCTCCATCTTTTTGAAATGTACGCAACTGTGCATCAGAAATACACTCGTAAGGTAGGCCTAACCGGTAATGTATTTAACCCGCCCGCATTACTGACTGACCATTAACAAGCCACATACACACAACGTTACGCACCCACTCAGATTTTCATTTAATTTATTTGTCTCAAAAACTAAATAAAAAAAAATGCTGATACAGCTCTACATGCTCGCAAGGTGGAGACGGCAGGGTGTTTGCGCCTGACCTGCTAGTTTTAGTAATTGGTGTAAATGGACTTCTTCCGCTAATCGAAGACAGGCAAAATACGTGTGTTTGTACGACAAGCGCGTATTCCTGGCCATGTTCTCATTGGTCAGTTGGCAAGTTAACACCCCCGTAAGAGGTTAAAGGTTATTCATTTATAAAGACCCGCTTTTCTAGTATAAAAGTCTAAACATATTTAAATACTGTATATGATTTATCCTATTAAAAAACTTACCTGGAAAATGGATGGAATCTTAAAGACAACATACACAACTGTGATAACAACAGCACAAAGTAGCAGCATAACTCCTAATATCAAGTTGTGGCTCTTGGGGGCAGATGTACATTCAACTCTAAATAAAAGAGGTAAATAAATGAATATATATGTTAAGAGCAGATATCTTTAGAAACATCCACTCAATCGTGGCATATCTCGGTGCTGTGAGAATTAGTGCTCCAATAATGTGAACACCAAACACAGTCTAGTGATGAAGAGGTATACAATAGGTCCGACTTTGAGTCTCGCATTGGAGATGTTGGATTTTACAGATATATTTTCTATCTATTTGATATTTACGGTATTCAATGCGCCTAATTTGAGTTGAATTCTATTTTTTCCTCCACGGGCCTAAATCATACATCTGTCTATTTTTTGGTTTTATGTTGGCGTTCTTTCATAATAGTTATCAGCCTTGTAACCTAACATGAATAAAATCGTTAGTATATTGTCTTATATAATACAGTTTGAGTTTTGTCCATGATTGTGGCATGTTGTCTTGACATTTAAAGAGGAAAATATGATTGGTGTATATACTCTATGACGTCAAATCTGATAGTGATATAGTTTATGAGCTCATATGTGATAAGAATACATATAAAGTTAATATAAATATTAAAATCTCATTTATGAATATAATTCATGTCGTTATGGAGAGCTATATGATAAAATATCAACTTACAGGCAATATAAGAATATGCAGCATCCCCAAATCATTGGAAGTTCATCTAGAAGCTGTAAGAGACAATAACAACCAAAGTGTGACGTCTCGGAGCCTGCTAATGGCACTTAGCAAAAGAGGACGAGGGAGCCGTCGACAATTCGGGTTAAGCGCACAAGTGTTTACTGTGGTCTTCACGCTCTGATAAGCACAGAACCACCTTCCACCCATCTTCTCGTCCTGTTGCGTAAAGTGCCTACTGAATAATACAATGAGCACCAGGCTTAATAATACCGCTAATAGGCACTTTACGTAAGAGGACGGGAGCCGTCGACAACGGCAATTCGGGTTAAGCGCCCAAGTTGTTTACTGTGGTCTTCACGCTCTGACGAGCACAGAACCACCGTCCACCCGCGTCTTCTCGTCCTGTTGCTTTATGTGGAGTGCCTAATTCCAACCAAAGAACGTGCATTATACGCATAAATCCCATTACAAGCACGCGTGCGTAACGCAGATTAGCGTAGATTGAAACCAGCAACTGGATCTTGGACATTGTCGACTCCAAGGTCTTAATAGCGTAAAGTGTATAGTCATTGGCAAGAGATCATTCCACAAAAATATACAAAATTATGACAACAAATATGGTAAGCTCTTGCACTGAGGAATGGACAAATGTTCGTGTTCTAATTTGCCACAATTTATTAAAAATATATGCCCTCACATATAGCTTGAGAATAGAGGTCTGATTTTAAAAGGGTACTCAATACCCTCATTTTCCCAGCGCTACAGTACTACAAGAACATTGTATACTAAAGCCAGCAACATATATAATAAATGAGAATTTAGGTAGCAAAAATTGATAACGCTGCTAAAATCCCAAACTTATCTCAAGTAAATCGTACCAGCAACTGTTGTATAAATGTAACCTAAGTATATCACTGTGTACACATTTGTATAAATAATATTACAATCTCTATGTTCCAAGATACACTTTTTTATGCTAGTCTACGACGCACACTAAGCTTGTATAATTAGCTTTATGTAAGCATAAATAAATATATAATCATTATATTAATTATTATAATGTACTATATATTGTGTAATATAAAATATCAATTAAATACATTTCATTAAAATTGAAAGAAATTGAACTAAACTAATTCGATGAATAAAATAAATATACATATGGAGCGATGTTCAGGTCATAAACAATGGAGGTAGTGATGTCATTTTTTCTTTTAACCATGATTATAGCTTTAAGAATCAAAACAATAGGCAAGCAATTACCGTATGTTTGCACATAATTGTGTTAATCTTGTTTAATCCACATCTCCGTGGTTAATCTAACATCGGAAAACATTCTGAATATGAATAATTAGACCTACAAAAGCAGACTACAAACCACAATATAATCAATATATATTTATCATCCACACAGTGCTCTTTTTTTTGTGTTAAATTGATGTGCCTTTTAATTATTTATAATCTCTGAAGCTGTTGCAACGCGTAACAGAGGTTACACAGCATGGACATGCGCAGATGATCATTATGGAAGAATTAATGAAGTGGTTTGCATTACGGGATTATTTTTATATTCTCACCTGCATGTGAAATTGCAGCGTCATATGAAAACACCAGGATCCAATACCAACAGCTGAACATGGTGAATGAAAACAGATGGAAGAAAGGTTAAAAAATGTTAGAACAAGCAAATTATTGTGTAATAGAATTAGGGCTAAGCCAGCAAACACATAACGTTATGAAAACGTATTTATGATTCTACAAAGAGAAACGTTTATCATTAAATTATCATCATTATCATTAAACTGTTATCAAACGTTATTATAACGTCATATTGTTAGCTGGGCAAAATATAATGTAAAAATGTTGATATTTGTCAACAATATTATTTAAATTTGTATATCTATTATGCTTAATGTTTTATTAGTAAGCCTACTGAATTCTTCAATCAGTATATAATATAATCATTATTTTTATTATAATAACATACAGTAACTTTACCTTAATATTCCTTTTTTCCTATTTTTTTAAACATTCAACTAAGTGACATTTCTTCAACATCTCCTTTTGTACACCCATAAGGGACATCTATATTGAAGGACATTTTCATTTGACTGCAAAGGGTTGTAAATTATTTAACAATACGGCCCCCTACTCAGGGGAGAATATTTTGGTCTTGAAGGCGACCCCTCAATTTGGGATCTGTAATCTCTTATGTTTGTACCGGAAGAGGATCTCATCTGTTCAGATTTGCTGTGGATTGATCCTCTTAAAATATAGTCAATTTATAAATAAAAAAAATCATCATAACTATCAGCATCGTGATCTACATATGAAGGCCATGTTTGAATATATAAATAAATGTACATTTGTTATGAGGAAGCGTAGGGTGTTTCTATCTAGATATATCCAGGCCTCGTCCTTGAGCAGTAGATAATAATAATAATAATGTATCATAATAATCTTAAGGATTAGGGTTAATATCTTACCTAGCAATGCGAGGTATCCTAGAACGGTTCGGGGCTCTACTTTGTCTTGGATAGCAGCAATAAGTCCAAGCACAGCAGGGATTATAATACCAAGGTTTGTCAGCGTATTCCCTGATAGATATAAAAAAAAAAAAATAATGTCGTTAGTTTTAGGGCACATAGAAAAAATTATTAGATTATCACTCCCGCCCGTGTCAAAAAATTGAGGAATATTGATGAGGGAATAAATTATATTTTTGCCGCATCATTTATTTCAACAGCATAAAAAAAATGCAATACTGTGACTGAAAATACATTTCCTTTAAAAAAAATAAAATTAACCCAGTTTTTATACAATATTTACAATATTCTTGGAAAATAAAAACAGTCCCTCTCTCATCGATAAAAAAAAAATGGGAAAAACAATATCCTATTGTTCCGATTTAAAAAAAAACCGCCCGCCCTCATCACTTAAAAAAAAAAAGAGTAATAATCTAATAATTTTTTCTATGTTTTAATAGAAGCTTGAACCATATGGGTTTTAATCCCTGCATAATATAACAATAAACTTATAACATCATAAACACACTGTATTGTACCTGTCTCTTATACACATCTAGATGTGTATAAGAGACAGGGTTTGCATTACGGGATTATTTTTATATTCTCACCTGCATGTGAAATTGCAGCGTCATATGAAAACACCAGGATCCAATACCAACAGCTGAACATGGTGAATGAAAACAGATGGAAGAAAGGTTGTTTTAGGGCACATAGAAAAAATTATTAGATTATCACTCCCGCCCGTGTCAATAAATTGAGGAATATTGATGAGGGAATAAATTATATTTTTGCCGCATCATTTATTTCAACAGCATAAAAAAAATGCAATACTGTGACTGAAAATACATTTCCTTTAAAAAAAAATAAAATTAACCCAGTTTTTATACAATATTTACAATATTCTTGGCAAATAAAAACAGTCCCTCTCTCATCGATAAAAAAAAAATGGGAAAAACAATATCCTATTGTTCCGATTTAAAAAAAACCGCCCGCCCTCATCACTTAAAAAAAAGAGAGTAATAATCTAATAATTTTTTCTATGTTTTAATAGAAGCTTGAGCCATATGGGTTTTAATCCCTGCATAATATAACAATGAACTTATAACATCATAAACACACTGTATTGTACTGTCACATAATGTTCAAGCATACGTTTAGACAGATGGCATGGAGTTACCCAGATGTCAACGTTGCATTCGAGAATGATGTGAACATTGAGGTTAGGTTGTGTCAGAAAATGACGTTAACATAACGTAGCAGCAGCTTTTGCAACGTTATTTAGTTTGATCACAAACTGTAACGTTATTTTAACGTCAAATTGTTAACTGCTGGGTAACCCTATATGGATATAATAAAACTACCGTAAAACCTCTAATTTAAGCCCCTTTTCTGCGAACTTTGGATGGGCTTCTTTTTTAGGCTACTTTTGCAAAGTAAAGAGGGGGCTCCTTTTCAAAACGAATGCTGTAAATTTTGAAAATCATGCTACTACAAAACAGTAAATAGGGACACTGTAATATCAATCTGTATCATGAAGTGTATTTACCGGCATTAAATTTATGTCAGTGTATGTATTGTACAATCTCGAAAAAAGCCCAATGGGCTTCTTTTCGAGGCTACTTTTGCAAACTATGAAGGGGAGGCTTCAATTTGAGATGGGCTTCTTCTCGAAATTAAGCCCATTGGGCTTCTATTCGAGGTTTTACGGTATTCTATACGTAGGCCTATAAGATTAAGACTAAGTAGAGAGTCAGTAAGAGAAAGTAATCGTAAATCTAAAGAAATCAAAAGCTAACAACTGGACCATGATGTGTCGGCGTTGTGGGGTCTGGTGTGTGAAATATCTTAATGCTGGGACTCATTGAATCGCAAAGACAAAGGGGAAGGGGAAACAATCAGAAAGAAGGAAGTTATACAAAGCTCTCGTACTTAAATAATATGGACAACAGATTTATATAGCTCATAATTCGACAGAGATTTATATAGCATAATACATCGATAGATGATAACAAGACGTTGCATATACAGTTTAAATAGAAATATTCTTATACATACATTAATTTCATTTACATCTTTCGTTCATTATTATGTAGATTAAGTCATTTGTATTAACATTTACGTCGATAACAACCTTAGAATGTTTTGTAGTTTGCATAATTATTGAATCGAATCAAGAAAATGCATTAGAGGCCAACATAGAGAATTTTATAAAATACGAAGCTGTAATATACAAACAACTGAACATTGGCAGTGGCGTA